CTCGGTGTGTGACCCTGTGTGTCTGTGTGGGTGAGTCTCTCTCTCTGTGTCTCGGTGTGTGTGACCCTCTGTGTCTCGGTGTGTGTGACCCTCTGTGTCTCGGTGTGTGTGACCCTGTGTGTCTGAGTCTCTCTCTCTCTGTGTCTCGGTGTGTGTGACCCTGTGTGTCTGTGTGGGTGAGTCTCTCTGTGTCTCGGTGTGTGTGACCCTGTGTGTCTGTGTGGGTGAGGGAGTCTCTGGGCGGTGCTGAGGCCCTCCCCCCCCCCCCCTCCCCCCCTCTCTCCCCCTCAGGCGGTGCGGTGGCGGTGGCGGTGACCGGGGGAGAGGCCGCGGGAGTCGCTCCGGGACCAGGAGCAGCGGCGGCGGCACTGAGACCCAACGCGACGCCGAGGCTGAGGCCCGTGAGGCCGAGGAGGATGTCGGGCGGCGCCGGGAACCAGGGCCTGGACCGGTCAGTGCTGTGGGGGCCGGGGGGGGGGGGGAGGCCTAGAGAGGGGGGAGAGGGGGGAGAGAGGGGGGAGGGGGGGGTGTGGGGGCGAGAGAGGGGAGAGAGAGGGGGAGAGGGGGGAGAGAGAGAGGGGGACAGAGAGGGGGAGAGAGAGGGGGAGAGGGGGGGTGTGGGGGCGAGAGAGGGGAGAGAGAGGGGGGAGAGGGGGGAGAGAGAGGGGGGAGAGAGGGGTGTGGGGCGAGAGAGGGGAGAGAGAGGGGGGAGAGGGGAGGGAGAGAGGGGGAGAGAGAGAGGGGGGGACAGAGAGGGGGTGAGGGGGAGAGAGGGAAGAGAGAGGGAGGGGGAGAGGGGAGAGAGAGGGGACAGAGAGGGGGAGAGGCCTACAGAGAGGGGGAGAGAGAGGGGGTGTGAGGGAGGAAGAGAGGAAGATTTTTCCTAAACACAGGGTGCGCTTTACACAGCGACGGGAATTCCGCTTCCCTCATCGCAACGAATTTATGTTTAACACAGCGCCCTCTCTCCCTCCCTCCCTCCCTCCCTGTGAGCACTCTCACCCGAGCTGGGGGCAGGGGTTCCGAGGGGGGGGTGGGTGGCAGGAAAGAAAATGGGGCGGAGGGGGGAGGGGGAGATTGACCCAAGGCGTGGTCAAAGAAGAAGGTCTCGAGACGGACCTTGAAGGAGGTGAGGGAAGGGGCTGCAGTGTGGAGTTTCAGAGGGTGGGGGTCAGCCCCGAGCTGGCAGGGTGAGGGGGGGCGAGGGGTGGGGGGTAGGGGGTGGGGGGGGGAGTCGAAGAGATAGGATTTCGGGACCACCCGGCTAACAGATAGAAAAATTAACCCTATGTTTGATAATCGCCCCGTCGCTGAGACACGTCAAAGCGCTTCATGGGATATACTGTAACGTGTAGTGACTGTATTTTGTGGGCGAAACATGGCAGACAATAGCGCACAGTGGTGGAGTGAGTGATCCAGTTATTTATTTATAAGGGGGATTATCGACCCCAGAAAGCGATC